ATTTATCGAATATTCGGTTCTAATATATATCGAAATATTGGATTTTATATATCGATGTATCAAATCATAGAACTTTAAAAATCGATAAATATATCGAATCGAATTAATCGATATTTAGTTAACAGTCGATATATCGAACTTTTAAAATTTCGAGTTGTACGTATTAAGAATTTTTGCAGTTAATAAAATTTTTTAATTTGTCTTAGGCAATAGAGTAAAATTTTTTTACACATGGTAAATGAATCTCTTAATATATTAAAACAAATTAATTGCTAATATAGAAACTTAAAAAAAAGATACAATTATAAGAGAATAAGCAATTTAGTAATTACTATATATATAAATGAAATTTTCTAATTGTCCGATAAACTTCTTTAATTGCTAATTAAAATTCACTAATTGTCAAATAAATTTAACGAAATTACGAATGTAAATATTGTTTCATGTGAAATAAACTTCTTTAATTACTATAATCAAGTTCATAAATTGACTGTCAAATCTGAATAATATTTCCCATGAAGAACCATATATAACTTGATTGTTTATCCATATATGTGTTAAATAATTTTTAGTAAAAAATTATAATATTCATAATAATAAAATGATTTTTTTTTATAATTTGTAGTATATATAAATTAACTAAAAATTATTTGAAAATGATTTAAAATATCAATTAGAAGGAAATAAGAAGGAGAAATTATTATTTTTTATAAGCAAAAAAAAAATCTGTTAATTTCTAATAAAATTTATTAATAAAAAGTTATAACATTAAATATATCTTTATTACGAAAATAATTACATTTGCAAATATTTACTAATTAAGTGTCGAAATCTACTAATTGCATTTAATAATAAAAGTAATTAATTTTCAATGAAATCTCAATACAAAACCTGTACTTTTTTTTTAAGGTGAAGAATAAACTATACATTTGGCATAGGAATAAAATTTACTAATTAACAAATCATTTTTAAATAATAATTGACTGTTAAAATTCTGTAATTGACTGTCAAAAATTTAATACTAATAGCGCCCGTCAAAATCATTAATTGAAGCCATGCGTCGAAGAGGGGCCTAACCGTGAAAATGTCAATTTCGAGAAAAATGATAAAAAGTGAAATTTGGGTTATTTTGAGCAAATAACTATTGGAAATATTTTAAAAGAGGTTAAAAAACTATTCTATAATGTATTTCTGTCATATTTTCTTTATTTTATAAAAATAAAGTGGAAAATTCTTTCTTACAGTGGAAGAGGGATCTAACTGACGATTCTACTTAGATCCTTCTTCCACGATACTAAGATTTTTTATTCATAAATCATGTTTTTATGAATGTTCTTGTAGAAGATATCTTTTAATTATTTTTATATTTATGACAAAGTATAAAAATTAACTTTTGGAACTAGTTTATGAAATATAATTTTTTATAAAATATTAAAATATAAAATTTCCACTTTGAAACTTTTATTCTTTTACTATTAAAATATCAATAAATTTATAAAAATGTGTCAAAATTCCTTCTAAATAAATTTTATTTACTAATTAGATTATATAATAAAACAAATTATTCAATTGTTAACAAATTTTCATAAAACTGTCGGTATTGTGGAGAAAGATATGGTAACATATCTTTTAAATCGTTGGCTTTTTCTGGCTTAATCTGTAAGGGTTTCGAATACGCAAGTGGTAGAACACATGGGATGCAAATTTTTCGTTTTAGTTGACCATTCTTTAAAACTGGTATTATGCGATATATTTTCCAAGACTTGGTAATATCGTGTGATTCTCTGGCATAAATACTGTTCGGATCATCTTTTCTCAGTTGTAACCAAGCAACTTTTGTAACTTTTAATTGAGAACTTGCTTTAATACTATTTGTAAGTGCACTGAAATCAAAAAAGTCTTCCCGTTCCATTAAAGTTACTTCAAATGGTTTTGACGGACGAGCATTAGGGATTATTGGTAACAATTGTGATGGAACTTGAGCAGCTTCTTTGTTTACCATTCTTTGAATAAGAGCAAAGTCACGATCGCAAGGTAAAAATGAATGACCTGATACTAAAAATTTTTGTTCTGCTGATGTGAAATAGCGTTCATGAATTAAATAGAACAATAAAGATATAGTTGTCCAATTGTTGTTTTGACCAACACATCTGTCAGACCAAATGATTAATGTTCTTTCTTCATTTTCATTCAGTTTTTGGTAATTTTGTTTAATGTACTGTAAAATACAGGATGATATTTCTAAAGCGCCCCTTTTTGCGATTCCTTCGTGCCATAAGAACATTTGCGCATGTTTTGTAGAAGGATTATGAACTGCAAAGTTGTAGCAGGACAATTGCCTTTGGTAGAAAATACTTGAGTGTGCCAACATAGGTAAATACATTACTTGCTGCAAATCGACGCATAAAACTACCGTATTTGGATTTATTTTACTATTTTCTCCATCTTTTTTCAGGGAGGCATATCCATTTTCTGCTTTTAAATGATGAATTTCACTTATCGCTTCGATTTCTTTTCTTTTTTCTATATCTTCAGTTGCTAATAATTGTATGTATAAACTGTCACAAGTTTTACAAGTATCAGACCTAGGCAGACCAATCTTCAAATTAAAATCATTAAGAAAAACTTCCCTGTAAAGCCAAAATTTAACATCAGATTCTGGGTTCTTTTCTTGAAATAAACGAAACATTTTGTTCAAAGTCAATGAAGAATTTAAATACATTCGATTATCGGTAGAAATTTTATTTTGACTGTAATGATTTTCCATTTGTGGAAAGGATTTAATATGTTCTCGAACAAGATGTCGAGTGTCTTCAATTATGCGATGTGGTCTATTCAAATGTTTTCCTCTTTCGTCTTTAGGATCCACTTTACCATCTTTCATCTTCTTCTGAAGGTTTTGAATCCGCTTGTGTGATACAGCATAAATATCACACAGAGTTTTCTGACAAATTTTTTTAGTTTCACCATTAGATAAACGGATTGTGTAATTAAAACTATTCAATCGACGAGATGTTGATTCCACAGATTCAATTTCTTTATTTTTTGCATTCTTCTTTGGAACTGAACTCAAACAAGAAAGAAGAATGGCCGATTGAGCATTATAATTACAGGCATAAAATTTGTCGAACAATTCTGCTTTTAAATCTTTTGTTAATAAAGCACATCCTTCATAATAGCATTTACAAACACGGTCCTATAATATAAAATCACCGTTTCAAAATAATATCTAATAATAGTACAAGAAGAAGGATTTTATAACAAATTACTAAAATTATTATTTTAAAAGATTTTTGTATTTTTTAAATTAAAACTATTAAAAATAATGAAATATTAGGTTCAAACACTAAGTTCAATTAGTAATAAAAAATAAGTTAAAGTTTCGAATTTGAATGATACAGCATATACATTTGTTAAAGTTTATAATAAAATAAAGCAATAACAAATTTATTTTTCTGACAGATAGATCCCTTTTCCATAATTTGATTACTTACACAATTAGAACTCATTTTCTCTTGTTTCGGTTTTCCATTTCGAGTTTCATATGCTTTTCCCGCATCTTTTAATATTTTTCTTTTGTTGTCTTTCCATTCGGAAGGATTACTTTTTCTTTTTCTAGACATTTTTCTGTTATTTATTATACCGATAAATTATAACCTATTGTAAAAAAGTTGACAGTCGAAAACAGTTAGATCCTTCATCCACGACAGACGATTTTCAATTATAATGTTCGCTGTTATAATATTATAATTATACAATTTTTATTGCAGAATTCGAAAGAGGATATTAAATAGAGTCTATTTTTCAATACAGTTAAAATTCGATAAAAAATGAGTTAGGCCCCTCTTCGACGCATGGCTTCAATTGCTGATACACTGCAACAATATATATTGCCTGTTAATAAATTTTACTAATATTGCCTGACAAATAATATATTGAGTGGGCTTAATTTTTTTTTTTTTTTTTTTTTAATTACCAGATATCAACAATTTTTTAAAGGAACATTTTTTTTGGAATAAAAAGTATTGTTTATTGATCAATATAATAAAACATTTTTTTAAAACAAAAAAATGTTTTAATTTTTAGTCTAAAATTTTTTTTATTTCTTTTTTTTTAATCGATGATAATAAAGGTTAGATCATAAACGTATGATAATAAACATAAATTACAAAAGTAAATTAACCAATTAAATAAATTAATATTATTATGATATGAAGAAAAAGTTCTTAAAATATGCACGTGAAGTTTTTACAATGTTCATTATCAAATGATTAAAAAACAAATTTTCCAGATGGAAAAATTATAATATTATAAATATAGAAAAATATTTTCTTTCTTAAAAATTATTTTTCACATATTTTCTTGGAAGGAGTCAAATTTTCAACTACATATTAAGAAAATTGTAATTCGCGTGCGTCATTTACGTAACTGCACGTTTTGGAAATCTAGTTCTCATCAGGAAGACTTTGTTGCACGTTCGACTGCGGTTGCGGTTGGGGTAGGAAGTGATTTTCGATTCTTTATCCATAACCGAGATATTTTCAAATAGAAAAAAAATAACGATTATCGACATTTTCAGTTATTTCAATCGATTAGATCGAAATATCGATATTTTGATATCGAAAAATTATCGATAATTAAATTTGGCAATTTTCGACGTTTTGATATGAAAAAATATCGATATTTCGATTTCGGAAAGTATTGATATTTTGATTTGGAAAAACGTCGATATTTCGATTGTTTTTGTTTTTCAATACTCATACGATATTGAAGATTATTTAATTTAATCGATATGTAATAATCGAATTTCTAAATTTTTGATATCAATGCCAAAAACTAAACAAATTTCTTTTTTTATTGAGGCAATGTTAAAATTTTTGTTAAACTGACTAAAATTTTTTGCTATAGAAACATTTTTTTGTCAAAGCAAAATTTGATTCTTTCACTTCCCCCTTAAGATTTTTTTTCTTATTTTAAGAAAATTAAAAAAAAAAACTCACCGTGAGATCAAGTGGCTGCTTATACATATACACAAACACGAGTCAAATACACACAAAATCACTTCTCATAAGAAATTCTTCGTCGTTCCATTCGACGACTATATGTGCAAAAATCACTCCTAAATAAAAATCAAAATTTACCAAAGAAAACAGCACATTATCACAAAAAAAAATGACAACACTTCGATTGAGAGAGAAAAAAAATAAGACACTGTCACTTTTTTTTCTTGGGGGAGGGATCGTCATAAAACAAAACACATTTTTGAAAATGACACTTTTTTCATGGTCCTTGATGTTAAAATTCCACTCGTCTCAGGTATAGAAAAAATACTTTGATTTCTAAAAAAAAATATATATATATATACTATATATTCTCGAGGAGATTCTTTCGTGCACGTTTCCTCATGGAGCAGCGACGGCCGACTCCTGGTTGTCGTTCACGTGTCACAAGACAGACCTGACGTTCCAGAACAATTAACCCCAAAGTCCTAATCGATTTAATTAGACGTCAAACGAAGCCGATCAATCTGTCCTCTCTCTTTCTCTCAGGTAATTTTCGTTCCTCAGCGCCAGGAGAGTTCACCTTATTTTCTAAATAATGAACCCTCGCGTCAGTTACAAATAATGTTATAGAACAAGTTTTCAAAAATCTTCGAAAAATTGTCGATTTTCCAAAGTCAGTAAAAATCCTTAGAACCTATACTGAGAATCTTCAATTGTTAGTAAAGATTTTTCAAAATTATTGATGATTCAAAACTGATGAAAATCCTTTAAAATTGGCGAACGTCTTCAGAAAGTTGCTGAAGATCATTAGAAACTTGTAAAGAACTTCAGAAAAACAGGAATCTTCAGAAAATACCACAAATTTTCGAAAAAGTCCAAAATTTTATGTAATTTGGTTGAATGCTTGAAAATCTCCTAAAGATCATCAACAGCAGACATTCGAAGAACAGTTCAAAAACACTTGATATAAATCATTGATGATCAAAAATTTAATACTCAATTTTCGACAATTGGAACTTTTTCCAAAAATTGGCTAAAATTTTCCAAAGTCCTCTCTTCTTTACATACAAAATTTTGGTCGAAAATCTTCAGAAATTTGGCAACAGCTTATGCCGAAAATTGTTTACATAGAAAAATGTTTCTTCTTTCATTGAAGATATCTCCGTATATATATAATTTAATGATGATCACAATCTATAGTTGATTTTCCAAAAAGCTGAAGAAATCATTCAAGAGCCGGAAAATCTCTCCGTCAGAAGATCTTTGTCAAACTCACAAAAAACTTTCTAAACACTTTATAGAAGAAGTTTTTCGAAAAACTATAAAAAAAAATCTTCCTGTTTTGAAAATCGAAATATATTCACAAAATCTTCGTTAAATAATTATTCCAAAACTGTTGATGTCCAAGAATTATCACAAAATCGTTGAAAATTTTTAATTCAGGTATATTAAAAGTCAAAACTTCTGTAAGCTTTCACAATGTTCAACAAGATCTTTTTTTTATAGAAGAACAGTTCAACAAGAACTGTTGCAGATCACAGTCCAAAAATGGTCTCACAAAAACAGTTGTCACAAAATTTCCTTAAATCCTCAACACAATGTCACAATAAATCTTTACCACTTAAAAAAAAAAAACAAATATTCCCAGTGATGATTGTAAAAATGTAACATAAACTGATAAAGATCAGTAAAACACGTTCGAAAAATCCAAATGATCCTGAACGGTAACAAGAGTCGAAGGCCCATGGGTTTTGGGGCCCTCAAGGTCACTGAAGGTCTTCTCACAACCGCGCAATACTTCTCCACGTGTTGGGATCCCGCGCACTGTCACCCTCATGGAAATTTTTGTACACCGTACACAAAACACATATTGAGGGTTGAAGAGAAAAGAAGTGAGTGAGAGAGAGGGATTTAAGGTGGTCCACTATCACCTTTTGGAGTGAGTGGGGAAAAGTGAGGTAGGGGGAGGAAGAGGGGAACACAAAAAAAATTGTTCCGCGATTTTGAACGCGCACGCTTCACGATCAGCGAGCACGGCTCAGATAATGATATAACAATAGGCCGTGCGTTCTCCGCTGGTTCAGATCTTACACTGAAGAGCAGGGAACACATACACATGTGTGTCCGCCTGGCCCGGCAGGTAGACCAAGAGAGAGAGAGAGAGAAAGATAGATAAAGAGAGAGAGAGAGGAGGGTTGGTAACAGGTAGAGGAGGAGAAGGAGGAGATCGGCTCTTATGCACCAACACCGGGACACTTTCCCGAGGGAACAACGATGAGGGAGGAGGAGGGAGGGGGGGATGGTGGAGACACGCGAGAATCGGGCCTGAGATCGTGTGGGTAAGAGACAACCTAAGCTTCCCCCTTCACTGATTCCCCGACCGCAAGGCAGACAGGTAGCGCGCTCAGTCGAGGAGGAGGAGGAAGGGAGGGCAACAATCAGCTGGAGGGAAAGGGGACTGACCAGTGGGGCGGGAGGGAAAGGAAGGAGGGGAGGGAGGCCCGAGATGGGACTCAGAAATAGAGAGGGGAGTGTTTCTCTTGGTGCTTCCGATGCTCCCGCTGCTGACTGCCGTTGCAGCCGCGAGGCTCAAGATCCAGTCGTGCCACTATAAGAGAACTGATTCCGTGCGCCGTTTTCTTCGCAAGGATGAGAGAGAGAAACAGAATAGAAGAAAGCGTAAGTCCAGAAGTTCCAGGTCTCGCTACTAGATTATGCTGTTCGAGTCACATCGCACTTTTTTCACCTCACCTTACCGGCCATTGAAATCACCTTCGTCTTCTATCACCTTCCTTCACTTTCCAGCTGATTAACAATCATTAAATTTTTTTCCTACAATCTCTAATTATTGATATTTAAAACCCTAGGGTTAAATTCTTATGCTGTCAAGAAAAGAACGAATTGACATTTCATGCTGAGGATGGGTTTTTGGAGCTCTTTATCTGCCTCTCTCAGCCCACTCTCTCTGTCTGGTTCACCTGTCATCTCCTCTTATCTCGGACAATCATCCATCCATCTCTTTGGAGATCCCCTTGTCCCTCAGGTCCATCGCTATGGGTCAGAGCAGAAATCGTCTTTTTTTTTTTCTTCTCTCAGTATATCCATTTGCTACTTTTTTTTATCCCTTTCTTTCTCTTCTTATACCAATCCGGATTGTGGGATTTGACACCCTTCGGTTATTGTCGTTCGTCAGGTGGAAAACCGCAAGTGAGTAATTGACCTGCGCATGACTAAGCGATAAAAATCCGAAAGTCGTTGCGATTCCTTGTTGTGATGACGTCAGAGAATCTTATCCCAGGAATATAATTATACTTGTCCAAAGTGAAAAAGAAACTGTTTCAAAATAATCTCTATATATTGTTTAGGTATTGCTGTTTTTTAATTTTCCGGTTTAAATTTGATATGGTGAATACATTTTTGTAGAATTGATACATTACCTTTTCTATTTGGTAATTTGCAGATATTGTATATCAATTTACATTGAAATGATACAAAATTTGATTAACATTTACCTGCACCAAAATCTTATAATTAATAAAATTATAACTATACAAAATAATCCTTAGGGAGGTAAAATTGATGAACCTCCAACTTACTGGAAATTATTATTTTAAAGATTTTGGAAGATCAAAATTTTGACAATTCCCGCGCTGCAATTTTGTTTCCGTTTCAGCTTAAAACGAAATTCGGACAAAATCTCCAGAGAGCTCCAATAAACTGATACTTACAAAATGTTCGATGCGTACTACATTACCAAAGTCGAACTATAATAGCAATTGTTTCCTAAAATTATTAGCCAAATATATCCGTTTCTTTTTCTTGATTTTTGTAAGCTTTGTCATCTTATCCCTAAAAATTTTAGTCCTAAATCCCAAATCTCTGTCTCTTTGAATTGGGAACAGCATTTTTATCGATTTCAGAATCATCTGCCTTAACCTTTTTAGCCCTAATATTCTTATAGCTTACAGTAAAACGAATCTTAGCTCTTAAGTTTTTGTATCCTCCTTATCATCATAATCCCCATCATTATTTCCCAATTTTACTGGTCCTAATCCTCCTTCTTTTATCACCATGAACCTTAATATTCTCTTACTTATCATTCCTATATGTATACCTTCTACATCTTCTTTTTCCCACATTGTGGTTTACCTTCTCTCTCCTATACTTTTCCGCATCTTATAAAACTCTTTTATCTTCTGAACAAGATGGGGGTATATTTCTACAGTGCGTGTGATTCGAAATTTCTGAATCAAATAAAGAGATTTCTTCTTCTCGAAAGAAAGCAATTAATGTCGTCATCATTGGAATAATTCCCACATTCTACCTGGCGAATTATTTTCTGAAAGCTGAAAGAAGATAAGACCACATATATTCTTTCTTTTTTATATCCAAACTTCATTATTCCCAGTTAGCATCTCACTCAGCCTCTCTTTTTCTCTCTTCAACTGTGGCTGCAATGGTGATTGAAAATGAGATGCTATGCAAATTCAAGAATTGGTACCATAATTCATTCGTGCGATATCGTGTGTGCATATATGCAAGACGCGCCGGTCAATCGGACATGCTTCACGAAACCCGACAAGCAGACGAGACTTGGCAGCCAGTGGAAGATAAGAATATATACCCGAAGAACGAGCGGCAATTACAAGTTGCGGAACGTGGAGAGAGAGAGAGAGAGAGAGAGGAGGAGGACGATTGCCGACGACGACGACGACTGTTCTCGATTTTTACGCACACGCGCGAGCGTCCATCGAGAGAAACGATTCGATATATCGCGGCCAAAGAAATCGAGTCAAACTCTGACATGAATTATATGTGGAGCGAGTCTGTAAAAGTATTCTGCCCACTGGATATGCCCCTATTAAAGTAGCCGCACTAAACCCACTCGCACTCTCGAGAGTGCATTTCCTAACGACTCGGTTTTATTAATTTTTTTCTCCCTCCCCTTATTGCTATTATAATATGTCTCAAAAAGCATCCCAGTGGATTAATATGTCATTGATGGATGATATGTATGCGTTCTTGTTTGTTTTTTTTTCATTCTACATTCGAAGGGTAAATTATTGGCTTTCAATTGGTTTTAGTGAGTTCTAACTGCTATGAAAATGAAAATATCTCGAGGGTTCCACATTTGGCTTGGCGTACTTTATTCCCTCTTCTGATTCATTTCCGTGAAGAGGAAGAACCAAATGTGTGATCTTTTGTCCTACATGGTCCTCCAAAATTTGTTACCTAACTTTAAAATCCGTGCAGGAATTCGTCAATCTGAACACGACCTGGAGGAAACAACCCACACTAGGGATCGGGTCTCGATTTTAATTGATTTTAATCAGACTGAAGCAGGGTTTCTTTTGTAACCCCTACCAGATTTAGTGTCTCATACGGATTTGAGGCTGAGTCCTGTCAGGACCAATTTAAAATTTCCGCATACTGAGAAAAAAAATTTAGTGTTTGCAACAAAATTGTTTGATTAGGTAATTTTGGTTCTTGTAACCAAATTTTGGTTGGCTGAAACAAAGTCGTAGAGTTATCTCAACCAAACATTAGGGTTAGGCCAACAAAATAATTTGGTTGGACATTTTTAAATTCCAACCAAAATTCGGTTACGACAACAAAATAGTATGGTCTAAAAAACCAAATGATCGTTTGTTGTCCTAACCAAAATTTGGATGCGACAACCAAATAATTTGATTCGCTCTCAGCTTATATAGCTTAAGAGAACAGTTACAGTTTAAATCTCTCACAAGGATGGGTAGTCCAGTGGTCAGAGCTTCCGATCTTCAGTTTTAAAATAGAGGTTCGATCCCAGGTGGAGATGATATTTTTCAAAGTCCACAAATATTTCAATTGGATAAATATAAATTCAATTGTTAAATTGATAATAAATAAATAAAAAAGATAAAAAGAAAAGGAATAAGGTAGAATAAAATTTTTAATTTTACAAAAAAAACTGTTTGATCAACAAAACATTTTTGTTGACCTAACAAAAAAAAATTTGGTTGAGCTAACCAAACATTTTTGTTATGCCAACCAAATTTTTTGGTTGACTCAAACAAATAGTTTGGTTGCTTAAATACCAACAAAATTTTTTTGTTGGCTTAACCAAATTTTGATTGCTTGACTAAACATTTTTCTCAGTGCGTACAGGAGTATATTGATTTTTGTAATTTCTAGTGACATAAAGAATTTAAAATTTAAAGAAATACTGTTTAAAAATACTATTAACTTACAGAAAGTGTTGCGTAGATACACAAAAACATAACCTGTAGTTTCATTTTACGTATTGATTTCTCAATACTTTGTGGATTTTACTCTCTAAATTTGAATTAGCTAAAATTTCACTGTTTGAATCAGCGAATAAAGTTTTCACTGCAAATCAGCGGATACAGCTAATAAAATAGCGAAACACGTCGTAAAAAAAAACTTCTGAACATTTTTGTAATTTTTCTCTTATAAATATTAATTTCAACAAAAATATCGAATATGGGCTAAAAAGCTCTGTTTCTCAGCTTCAAAATGAAAAAGAAAATTTTGAAATCGGTGCAGAAATAAGAAAGTTACAAAGGTTTTTATGCATAAACATACGTAAAAATGGTTTTCTGGATCTAAAATGAAAATTTAGGGGTGTTTGGAGAATTTTATATACACCATTCTTCTTAGTTTTTTGTGACCTACAACCTCCAATAGGTTTCATAAGAAGTATATTTAAAAAGAAATTTTTTGTAGCACCGTGTTATTGATGTAATAAATGAATCTAGAAATCTACAGAAAAAATTGGAAATTCATATTATAGAAGAAACTCTATCTTATAGAGGTAGTATCAATCCTGCAATGCATGGATTTTCAATAATGGATAATTACAACAAAAAAATACTTCAATTTACTGAAGTTGGATTAATTTTAAAGTGGGAGAATTATTTTTCTACATTGCGTCGGAAAGGGTCTTTTGTAAATTGTACTCGATAATGGAGACATTTTGAAATTGTTCTGTGAAATTCTGACTGTTCTTGGTTTATTTTTTGATAGAAAACTTTTAAGTTTTTTTTTCTACATATATTTCTTATACGAATATATGGATACGAATATATACA